TCACTAACCACATTTTAATACTAAAATCATAAGTTAGTCCAATGAAATGATAAAATTCTAGGTAGTATTGTCTTGCATCTGCCTATAATCAATTTGGTTTTACGCATGGCTTTGTTAGTATGCATAATAAACAGCTCCCATTTTTAATATAACCTTCTGCTGAAGGGCAAGCTATACTAGCATTCCTTTCTGCAGAACCAAATTGTACAATCAGGAAAGACATTTTCTTCCACTTGCTAAAAAAGAATGTTGCAGGATTCCAACAGGAAGTTGAAGGATTTCACTGAGTTGGCAGAGTTCTTTCACCTCCAGTACAACCTATCTGAAGAACTGTGCAGAAACAGTATTACAATCTAACCTTCAAGGGAAAAAAACAGCTATAGTCTTCAAAATTCCTCTAAGAATGCCAGAGAATTGGAGTTAGAACTGTAGCTGTCAGCATAGCTTTGTGGCGATAGGGAGTGATTGTGGGAACATTACAGGATTTCCCCTTCCTCTCCATAGACGTCTTGTTACCACAGCTGTCTTGCAGATCTAAAATCTTAAATTTAGTCCCCTTCAGGGCCCTTAATGTCTCTCCAAGTTAGCAAGTAGGTGGCACTGCTGAGTCACCACACTTAATTTTCTGCTCAATCACTGAGAATATTAAATACTATTTGTTTCTTATAGCACAACGAGATGAGATCTGTACAAACCTTCAATATGTTTAATGTCCATAAGAAATGTGCTAATTTGCCCTATCGTACTGGAGTAATGACACAGGAATAACTCTTCTGCCACATTTATAATACTTATTTGAACACACAATTGTAGATTGTCATTTTGTTCAGCATTTACAGACTGCAAAACAAAAAACAACCTTGATCCAGTATTAAGTTTCTACCATAATAGTGGTACACGATAATGTTAGACCCCGACTCCACATGGCGCCCAACGACTAGGGAGACGATGATCCAATTGCTCAGAGAGCAAACACTAGTACACATTGCTAGCAACAGCTTCATTCAAAATGGAGACAGCTTCAGACTAGCTCCGACAAACCAGGAAGCCGCTACGAACATTAGCTCTTTCCATATTTATACGCCTTGGTTCATACTCATTAACATTTACTCCACCTTTGTTCCACCCATATTCCCTCCTATCTCAAGCTCTGCCTCTGTTTACTGTTTAGTACATTAGCATGGAATTACCTATGCATTTCACTTATTTACATGTCTTTCTGCTATGAGCGCATGCTTAAAACCTCAGCTTCTTTCGGTCACTTGCGGTTTCTTGCTGATTTCTTCACCATCTCCAAGGTCTTGTTTCTGCTCATCTCCTAATGATAGCTGGTGGGCTGCATCTTGTTCCTTTTACACAATGAGTCATATGTCCAACACACTACCACATTATTAGGGAAATGCTTGCCCGAGTGTCTTGCGATGTTACTTTTAATATATCATTCTACCTTGTGGTTAGCAGCTTTGCTGGGCCAGACTATAGCCTTGTATTCAGCTGCAAATCCAAAGCTCCCCAAGATCCAAATACAGTCACACTAACAAATAAATATTATAATAATAATTATTCTTTACCTTTCACACCCCAAAGGTGTTCATTTCTTTCTTTGTCTCTTTTAATTGATAAACTCCTCAGGGCAGGAGTGGTGTCACATTCTATGCTTGAAGATTGCCTGGCACATGTATTTCTTACTGTGACAGTATAAAATATACATTGTACTCCAACTGCTTTATATAAAGACTGAAAAAAGACTATGTACTCACCCCACTTCAATGTATGAAATACTGATTGGGTGCATCTACATAAGATGCTACATCACCATAGCAATGAGCTACGGAGACACAGCTCATTGCTACAGTGACATAGTGCTGGCAGGCCCAAACTGTGATGCATGTATAGACATGCCCACTAATTACAAGAGCAACCTGCAGTAACCATTTTGTACCTCATTAAGGCTCATTACCTTATTTCTTAGAGCCCTTATACCTCTAATAGCAGCCCCGAAATTGCCAAGATCTAGTCCAGTGGTGCTTAACCTTCTGGATCCATGGACTGGAAGAGTGACGTAGGGCCAGTCTGCAGGCCAAATCCAGCATGAGGCAGCGCTTATGGTCAGAACAAAGGCATGATTAGGTGCACCAGCTGGGACATAAGAGTAGAATGGGGCATAGGAATTGATATGCCATGAAACAAAAAAAAGAGCAAATCCAAACTGGATCATTACATCCTACCCATTTTTGTATCATCTGCTTAGTTGGTTTTCTTGCTACACTCCTTTATTCTGGATACTCAGTGAGTTACATCAGAATAAATTCCCTTGTACTTGAGGATCCAAATTCAGTGGTGACATACAAGGGGTTGCAGAAGGGCACAATGGCAAGAAAGGTAAGAAGTCAGATTTACACTGACCTTCACTGGCAATGTTCCGTCAAGTAAATGGAAGGAAGTCTAAATTGGTGTAGTCTGCAAATTGGGGTAGCTGAGAAATGGGGATTGCATTAACATACTCTAGGCCAGATGCAGAAAAACACTGGCAAACAAAATAGTCAAACTTGACATGCTGAAATCCAAGACCAAAAAACCAAAGCACAACATAACACACATTCAGTAACCATTAGATTCTTCCCTGTTTGACCTGAAGGTTATCTTAATTACTGAGTTTGGCTTTTGAGCATGCCCAAAAACTACAGCTGGGCACCTACATCCCACTGAAGTCTACTGGGATTCTGGAAGTGGGCAGAATGGCACCAAAATCCTCTGAATAGGCCCATCCTCTGAGTAGGTTATGCCTACCACACATCACAGGATCAGAACCATCACAAAATACAGTTGCAGCTGCTTTTTTTAAGCAATTAAGATGGTGATGGTGGTCTCAAAACCCATGTTTTGTGATAGACTAGTAGTTAGAGCATTTGTTTAGAAAATGGTGAAACCTGGGCTTGATCCCTTCCTTAGACCTTTGGTGAAAGCATCCTATCCCCCAGTCTTGAAGGGTGTGTCTGAAATTACACTCATCACACCTCCTTCGGAAGTTGTGCCATTGTGTAGGAAGGAGTGCATAATATACCGGGCCAGTGAGTATGACTGTGACCTAGTCATGAAGGTATTCCCTTGGAAGAAAAGAGAACTCCTGATTGCAGTCCTTGCTCCCAGGACTGCTTATGCATTTTACATGAGGTAGTCATTGGACAAAACCCTTCAATAACCTAGAAATGTAATCAAAATGTACATATTAAGAATGTAGCAATTGTGTGGCAGATAAAAAATGGACACCAACTACCCACAAAGCCCTAAGGGGGGAATATTCTTTTTTATATTTATTTATTCCACTACAGCATAAATTGGAGTACATAAAAAGCTTTACAGTGATTTTTTTGCCTGTGATTTAAAAACAAACTGTTTAATATATCAGTTACACATGTAATTCACCTGAATTGTGCACAGTGTCTGAAGCATTGCATCAATTAATTTGTGACAGATAAGTGGCTGCATCAACATGGTTTCATTGAATTTTCACAAATTTGCCTAGTATTTATCCATCACTAACATTAAAACTTAAAAGCAAAGCACAGGTTGCTGCAATAAACTAGCTTATTGAAAAACACTATTTGTTTGAGATGTGCTTCCGTTATGAAAATATACACACTTTCCTAACATAGTTTCACATAAGACCATGTTTAGTAAAGCATTTTAACAAGGTTGGCGGTGTTTTTGTTTCTGGCTAAAAATACTACTTTTAGTCCCCTTCCATCTACCATTATTTTAGTTTGTTTTTGGTTAAATATATAGTAGTTTGTTGTTTTTCTATTGAGATATTACCTTTTCTCCTTCCTACAGGGCATATGGTAGTAACTTGGGAAGCTAAGAGAGCTTCTAATATACAAAAGAGCATACTAATTCTAGTAAGTATATTCCAGCACTTCCCATTAGTAAATATATCCCAACACTTCCCATTTCTTGAGCCAAAATGAATAGAGAATGAGACTGCACAGGTTATGAATGCAGAATATCCCTAGAGAGTGTGCATACCAAATAATGGTTTAAGCTGTAGAAGTGGAAATTAGTGGAACTATTCCATGTTTACAGTGAATTGCCTGAAAGCAGTATTTGGCCAAACTTTCCTATTTAAGTGGTACTTTTTTCTAAAGAATGATTTAAGCCCTTGCTGTTTTCTCAAAATACACATAAAAATCCTATTCAATCCAATGCAGGTTTGGTCCACAGAACAATTGCAAGATAAATCATTTAAACACTGATTTATTAAGCAACTCTTACTACAGTTACTCTAAAGATACCAGTTATCCTCTTCTTCCTCCTTTTTAACTTTTACAACTGTACCAAAATCCCTGCAAAAGGCTCAAGCTAGGAAAAATATAGCTCTCTAAAACTTCAGATTTTTATTCCAGTAAAAAATGCTAGGTGTCACTAGACATAGAACAAGCCAACCTTAAGCTCTGCACTTATAAAATATAATGCATCTGTAGAGCAGGCAACATAAATGGATGCCATAAAGCAAGAAAAGCAAAAGCTACTCCTAAACAATAGATAAGCAGAGGTACTGAAAGCAACCATGTTGATAGCTAACCAAACAGCATAGGAAAGGTACACCTTGTATGTGAATAACTTATTCTTTTTAGGAATTGAAATTCTCAGATATTTATTTACAAGGGATTACATTTTGCATGGAATTCACATTTGTTACTGCATAAATATTATTAAACAGGTATGGTCCACAGCAGGGCTGTCCAACTGGTGGTGTGTGGGCCGCAAGAGGCCCCTAAAACATTGGCATATAGTCCATGGTCTCTTTACTGGCTGCCACTCTTCCTCCTCCTCCCCCCAGTTGGTCCTGCCCCAGGAGCTAGAAACAGGCTGGAGCACCTGAGCTGCACATGTGACAAAGGAAGTATGGCTATCCACACTAAGTAGGTGCTGCGCATGCAGCAGGGGAGAGTCAGGCTGCTGGTACCATGGGAGTGGGGGCTGCCCATGCTATTATGCATGTGGTGGTGAGGGCAGAGGGGCACTGGGCAGCCAGTGCAGTGTGAGCAGCCAAGAGAAGTGGAAGCCAGACTGCCCACACTATGCATACATCAGGGGTGCACTGGTCAGGGTGCCCACTCTACTCATTCAGTGTGTGGCCCCTGAGCCTGCAGCCTCTGGCTTTCCAGAAGTTGGACAGCCTTGGTCCACAGCATTGCCATTTTATTTCATGGTTTTTACACTGATTGAGAAAACAGTTATTCTTTTGCTAATAATTCCTTTGAATTAGTTTTAAGGTATAAACAAGATCCATACAAATGGAATTACAGCAATTAAAGGTTCCTTTTAATGCAACTGGTTTGTAGATTTACATCTGCTGGTAATGTTTGCTAGAAAGGCGTGTATCATCACTTTAGCTGACTTGTTCAATCTGTCACTCAAGATACAACTAGGGAAAGAAGGGGAGAAATCATAGTAGGCATGCTTAGGCTTACAGAGTATGAGACAGAGGCCATGGAATAGGAAACCAGCTAGAAAATGTCAGAGAAATCAATCATCTGGCTGCAATTATGCAAATAGTGTATAAAGGAAATTCTACTTGCCCAACTACTACTAATGAAGACCAGATTCTGCTCTCACTTACACTGAGTAAATAGTAAAAGCAGTTTCCAGCCCAATGCGATCATTCCTAACATACGTAACGGCAAAAAAAAAAAAGTGCCTTAAAATTATTTTTGCAGCACTTTTGATTTACTCTTATTAATTACTGGTTTTGTAAATGCTGTTTGTTTTCTAGTACACTACATCAGCAAACATTTTTATTAGGGGGGAAAAGGTAATTTTCAAACTTTTGTGGAAAGCCTGTGGATTATTTTTATGACTGGACGTCACAGTGATTTCCCACAAATGTGAGGACATTTTCAGGAAATGCTATCACATTAAACCTGAAAGAAAAAGAATACAAAACCAGTTAGCTTCTTCACTAGAACTGTCATACAGGCACTGTACTAAATAAGGTCTGAAATAAGTCAGGAACTGTACTATCAAAGCTAAAAGGGATCTATCAGTACATGCATCTGATCCCTATACTGGTTAAAGCCCCAATTCAGCAAACACTTACGGACAGCTTTTACTTCACTTAATTGCTTAAGTGTTTGCACACAGCATGTTAAATATTCGCTCTGATTGCTAGTTAGATGAAAGACAGTCCCAATACACATAAATCATTTTTTTAACATTCACAACTCTGCTACTATTTAGAAAGTGGTACTAAATTAAGAGCAAAAACTCCAAATGACATTTTTCCAAATGAGAAATTGACCAGCAAGTCAAGTATCGAATATGTGAGTGAATACACAAAAAAAATTCTAACTTCAGTGTTGAATCCCCCTCTAGCAACCTGTACTCAAGCCAGGCTACACTGCATATAGCATAGTCCTGGAGTACTTACCCAGGGCAAGACTTCCCATATATTTACTTGGAGCAGATAGATCTGCTTCACTGAAAGCTTTCTGTTTGGACCACTAATTTCTAAACAATGTCTAATCAGACTAACTGTGCAAAACCATGGGGGGGTGGGGGGGAACAAAACTGAAAAAAATGAAAAAAGAAACATAAAAACACAACCCTATAAAATGTAAACTACTCTTTTTCTTTATGTCAAGATGAAGTTGTCTATAGATGAATCAGTTGCCTTGCTTTAGAACTACCAAAGAATGTTACTGTCGGTATTCTGCTTAAAGCAGGACATTTTATTCAAACATGAGAAAACTCGTCTCCTGCTGTTCTTTATGTAAAGTTTCTGTACCCTTCTAGAAGATGAATACTCAAACTATTCCTTTCCATAATCAAGTGACAATTCCAGGCTGAATTACCAATAGTAAAAACACTTGGTCTATTTTAGGAAATGGTTTCTCAAATTGACTTAAATGTAAAGCTACAAAGTTTTGCCTTATCCCTGTGCTGAATGGCTATATAGAAAATATAGAAAATAACAGCTAGTGCCGTTTTAACATAGCATGTCTGCCCAGGTGGTCTACATTTTTAGTTCTGAATAACATGACAAAACGCATGTTCCAACTTCCAACAGGCAAAGAGAATCCATCACATTTTTCCATTCTCAAGATTCTGCTCCACAAAAAAAATATTCCATGGGGTTCAAAATCCAAACAACGGTATATGATATTGACGTGTACTGTAATTGACCAGTATATTAGTAATTACAGCAATCATTAACTTGAAATAAATAAACCAAGCTGGCAATTAAAAGATGGGGGAATATTAACATCATGCTAATGTAGAAGTATAGCTGGCCTTCGTAGCAAATGCTTTTTTTAGCTTGTTCTCCTATGATAGCCTTGTACTGTGCTAAAGAGTATCTTGCCATGGGATACTGGACATAAAGATGAAGGATTTAAATGTTCTTAGTTGATTTCAAGGGATTTGCATTTGGTTTAGGTTAACTGTCTTTGATTTACAGTTAATTAAAGAGAAGTGAATTACAAAACATTTTTCCAGAACACAGTGGCATACACAGCCTGTCATGGCTTAAACATCTTTACTTCATATTTGTTATAATTTAAAACTTGTGATAAAAAACGTTATTTACAGAAATCGCCTCTTCATCCTGCCACAGAACTTTGCTTCTGCAATAATATGTCATCTTTTAAAAGGTAACATGACTTTTTCTCCCCTCTTTTCCAAATAGGAACATGTGGCAGACATTTGTGCTGCTTAAAGACCAAGTCTGGTCTCTGTTAAATCATTCATTGTGGTTGAAATTCCTGGGGCCACACCGTGCCATGTCTTCATTAAAGAAACTACTGCACCAAAGAAAAAAACAGAAATAAAAATGAAAGGCTGCGATTCAGATGTTCTCCCTATACTTTTCTAACACAGGAAAATGTTTACTTTACCATCAAAGGTAAACAGAATTCATTCAAGCTATATTGCCAGCACTGTTCGCATCCAAGAGAGAAGAGAAAACAAAAGGAAGCAGCCACTCTTTGCAACAGGGCATACAAAGGAGATTGGCACTATCGTGATAAGCCTCTACTATCAGGGATTCATATCTATGGGGGGGGGGAGGGAAACAAACAAACAAAAAAAACCACGCAGTTCTCTTCCAAGATTGAGAATTGGCATTAATGTTATCCAAAGATGATCCTTTTTTAGCAGCCTTCTCCCTTAATGCGCATGGCTGGGTATGCGCAGCACCTGGTGCAGAATGGGATGGCTCCAGATCAGTGAGAGATGGGGTGCCCCATCTTGCCTTGTGCATGCTCATACACTGGCAGCACTCCCCCAAGGGTAGCTCTACCAAGGGCCCACCCCAGCACCACCTTGTCCTGCCACCCTGGAGATGCCTCTTGAGGCCCCACACAGCGGTGCCATGCTACTGAGCACAGCCCAGAGCCCACTCCTGATGCCAGCCCTGCTCCAGCCAGCTTCATGGTGTGGATGTGCCCTCCTGCTCCCCGGCTCGGTCTGCCCCATCTGGCAGCATCAGTACGAAGGGCAACAGAAGGCCCTTGCTGTCCTGGGGTGCTTTGAGGAGTTCTGCATCAAAGCTGCCCCTCAGGCCACCGTCTGACTCCACCTCACCATCAGCCGCCAAGCTGAAGCGCAGGACACCGGCACGGCTGATGCAGTAGATGGTGCGGCCCAGTGCAGCACAGCGGAAGGGCTGCAGTGCGTTGCTACCACTGGGCCGCAGGGAGGCGCACTGGCTCCAGCGTTTAGCCACCGTGTTGTACCGGAAGACCTCGACACCACCACTGCTGCTGCCAGCCTGCTCGCCACGGCCGCCACTCACATCAAAGCGGTAGATGAAGTTCTTGAAGGCCACCATGTCAGCAGAGCGGCGGCGGGGGGTGCTTGTAGGGGACTCCTCCCCCCCGCTCCGC